AATGCGAGTCTATGGTGGGGGTACGTGTAGCTGAGCTAAATGCGAGCTTTGGTGGGGGTACGTGTAGCTGAGCTAAATGCGAGCATTGGTGGGGGTACGTGTAGCTGAGCTAAATGCGAGTCTCTTGAGGCAATCGATGGAGATCGCGTGTAAAACCAAGCGAATTAGCTCACGAACTTTGACCCCTCACGGTGTTTGTTTACTTTTGTCAGAGGGCTCAGAAGGCAACAAAAGACAGCACCAGACTGAATGGCCGAAGCAGAAAGTGGTTGGAACTTTAACCGTCAAGTCGTTTAGTCAAACTTGACACACATCGTCTGAACCGACATAATCAAACTTAACACACATCATCATAGCTGGTTAAATCAAACTTAACACACATTATCATAGCTGGTTAAATCAAACTTGGCACACATCATCATAGCTGGTTAAATCAAACTTGACACACATCATCATAGCTCATCAAATCAAACTTGACACACATCATCATAGTTAACCAAATCAAACTTGACACACTTCATCACAGCTCATCAAATCAAACATCAAGCACATCATTATAACTGGTTTTACGTTGAGAGAAAGAAAAAGTCAAATTCCATGGATTGATTTTAATTTCACATTTCACGCATGGTTGACCGAGATCGAACGCCGCCAGAGGTCGAGTCTACACAGACACATGGTGCCATCTCAGTCTACACAGACACATGGTGCCATCTCAGTGGGTGACAGTGGGAGGATTAAACGCTTTGTTCTAGCACGTATAAATTGATAAGGCGGCGATCGTTTTTTTATTCGCCTCATCATCGTCTTTGTTGCCGGCGTGAGGCGGGTCTTACGTAACCATCTTGCTGGTGTGATCGATAGTCAGTCAAGCGTGGTAGGTTTGCAGAGGGTAACAAACGGTCAGATTGGTGGTAAGTTGGGGTAACAGAATGGTAATTTATGTCTCGCACTTTAACTATTATGGAGGTATTGTCTCGTACCTTTCTATGTGAAATATCCTGACCATTATTCATTAAAATGTGACCACTATCCAGTAAAATTTCACCATTGCCAATTTCTCCCTTAAAATGTACTTTACCAACTTGACAATATACTTTTGTGTCCATGTTTTTTTTTATTATTAAGATGTACACTGGAAATCGATAAGCTCTACTTCCCCTGCCAAAGGGTCATCATACCTAGAAAAACCTTTAAGTCATATAAACAGTTTTAGTAAGGGCAACAAAAGTTTACCAGCGCCCAAACGTTTCTGTATCTGGGGTTTAGGTTTAAACCTTTCCCAATCCTAACCCAGACGTTTCTGTATCTGTGATGGTAGGATGTAGGTTTAAACCTTTAGATTAAACAGCTTCTTATCATCAAGCTAACATCCTGCATACTTCAAAAATAACATCCCATACATCAACATAATATACTACATACAATAGCCTAACATCTTATATTCAGCAACATTACCTCCTACATCAAAAAACATCCGCCATTCATCAGATAACATCCTACATGTATCAACTCAACATCCTATATACATCAACCTAACATTCCTCATTCATCAAACATAACAGCTAACATATATCAACCTATCATCCTTAATATATCACCATAACATCCTTCATTCATCAACGATAACATTCTACATAAATCAACATAACATCATAAATACATCAACCTAACATCCCACTCAACTAAAAAACTAAGCCAAGAAAACCAACGAACTTTTTTTTTAAACCGTCGACTTATTTTCGGTAAGTTGAGATCTAATCTTATTTGAGTAAAGTATTTATCTGATTTAAGTATGGATTTACCAACATTGCCTCCACTATTGACGGCCCTCTATTCAACTATCGACATTTATCCTGCTTATGTTACCAACTTATCTAATGTTTAAATAATGATACACGCTAGACTCCTTTAGATGTGATCGATGTTTGTTTTTTCTTATAAATCTACTAATGACGTCGATCTTGTTACAAAAATATATCATATTCAACCATCAACTTATACTTATAACATCAAAACTTTCGAACAAATCCCATTAAACGAAAGCACTTATCCCATTAAACGAAAGCACTTATCCCATTAAACGAAAGCACTTATCCTATTAAATTAACCAGTTTATTCCTATGACCTAACAAACTAATCCCAACGAAATGACCAATGTATCCCGTTAAAAAAAAACGTATCCCACTGAATGTATCCTACTGAACTTATCCCACTGATCTTATCCCACTGAACTTATCCCACTGAATTTATCCTACTGAACTTATCCTACTGAACTTATCCTACTGAACTTATCCTACTGAACTTATCCTACTGAAATGATCCCATCCCACTGAACTTACCAACTTCTCCGTACTCAAGGACCTCAGCCCTTGTGTACACACAAGTTTTATTTAAGGGCAGATAATCTGTACCCAATTGATAATCAGAGGGAGATAACCGGGTTTTATTTTCTAATAACTTTCTTTCGAGAAACACAACTGTACAGTCAAGAGAACAAATCCTTTCCTCTACGCCAATCTGTGAACAACTATAGAGCAAGGGTAACCTTCGAGCGAACTGGTTAGACCTTTACAATGACTGAATGTTCTGGTTAGACCTTTAAACCTTTGAACGAATTGGTTAGACCTTTGAACCACTAAACGATCTGGTTAGACCTTTGAACCTCTAAACGATCTGGTTAGACCTTTGAACCACTAAACGATCTGGTTAGACCTTTGAACCACTAAACGATCTGGTTAGACCTTTGAACCACTAAACGAACTGGTTAAACCTTTGAACCACTAAACGAACTGGTTAAACCTTTGAACCACTAAACGAACTGGTTAAACCTTTGAACCACTAAACGAACTGGTTAAACCTTTGAACCACTAAACGAACTGGTTAAACCTTTGAACCACTAAACGAACTGGTTAAACCTTTGAACCACTAAACGAACTGGTTAAACCTTTGAACCACTAAACGAACTGGTTAGACCTTTGAACCACTAAACGAACTGGTTAGACATTTGAACCACTAAACGAACTGGTTAGACATTTGAACCACTACACGAACTTGATAGACCTTGAACCACTGAACGAACCGGTTAGACCTTTAAAACGAGTTTAAAACCAGTCGTATGCGGGATTAGCTCTACAAAACTGTGAGCTTAAATTGATTTCGGATTGAACTCTGAGTTTTCTTATAGGTGTAAATAAATTATAACCCTAAATACCTTGGACACAGGCTGCAGATGTTGAGAAGTGGTTTGACATTATACACGGGAATGTAGATTTAAATAGTTGCTTGTAGAATTCAATAAGTCCAGATGGTTTAATACGCCAAACACACAGCTGTTGAAATATCTTTGCTTGTTTACTGAGGGTAGAGTTGTATCATTATGTCAAGTTAGAGAACTAGTTTTGTTGTTTACTGAGGTAGAGTTGTATCATTATGTCAAGTTAGAGAACTAGTTTTGTTGTTTACTGAGGTAGAGTTGTATCATTATGTCAAGTTAGAGAACTAGTTTTGTTGTTTACTGAGGTAGAGTTGTATCATTATGTCAAGTTAGAGAACTAGTTTTGTTGTTATTTCGAATGTCCATTATGTCAAGTTAGAGAACTAGTTTTGTTGTTATTTCGAATGTCCATTATGTCAAGTTAGAGAACTAGTTCTGTTGTTATTTCGAATGTCCATTATGTCAAGTTAGAGAACTAGTTTTGTTGTTATTTCGAATGTCCATTATGTCAAGTTAGAGAATTAGTTTTGTTGTTATTTCGAATGTCCATTATGTCAAGTTAGAGAACTAGTTTTGTTGTTATTTCGAATGTCCATTATGTCAAGTTAGAGAACTAGTTTTGTTGTTATTTCGAATGTCCATTATGTCAAGTTAGAGAACTAGTTTTGTTGTTATTTCGAATGTCCATTATGTCAAGTTAGAGAATTAGTTTTGTTGTTATTTCGAATGTCCATTATGTCAAGTTAGAGAACTAGTTTTGTTGTTATTTCGAATGTCCATTATGTCAAGTTAGAGAACTAGTTTTGTTGTTATTTCGAATGTCCATTATGTCAAGTTAGAGAACTAGTTTTTTTGTTATTTCGAATGTCCATTATGTCAAGTTAGAGAATTAGTTTTGTTGTTATTTAAAATGTCCATTATGTCAATTTAGAGAACTAGTTTTGTAATTTCAAATGTCCATTTTGTAAAGCTCGGATATGGCGTGGTCGAGTTTTGAAGCGTCCAATTACTCGCCCAAAGTCCCGAGTTCGGTTCACGGGTTCGATCCCACTAGTCCACCCTGCTATTGATGGTGCAGACACAATTCGCGGAATTTCAGGACCACCGAGCGTAGTGCTGACCAGTTTCCCTTGGATAAATAGGTTAACTCTACTTCATCTGCCCCATTCTACGTATACTTATATTATGTATTGCTTTATAAAGATACTGTTAGTACCAACTATGTCTAAAACTAATTTTATCAACAATTTATATATAGAGCTAACTTTGTCTTCGATTTCTTGTTCTGGTGGCAATTCTTCATATTTTAGTCAAAGATTTTTAAAATACAACACACACAAAAAATAATTATTTGATCAATTGATATATGTAGTCTCAAATGGGATTTGAACTCGTGGCCACATTGCGTGAAGACTTTTGATTCAAGCACGTCAAAAATAATCTGGGTTAAACCTTTAATCATACATGATTTTTTTCCTATATTGAAATGCATGATAAAAAATCTCATGTATTTATAATCAACTGACTGATAATTCAAGAAAATCTGAGTTTCTCACGGTTGATTTGTTATGTGGTGATTTAGTTAAAACACTGTAAGTCAAGCATGATGTTTAACCACAATAAGTCAAGCATGATGTTAAGATTAAGGTCAAGTTCAGGGTTAGGTTGAACCAGTACTAACTGACCAGTGGTCAACTTGACTTCTCACCCTGCCAACCCTGTCAACGATCAGCTCAGCGTTACTGACGTGTTTTATTTTTCCCCAGATGGCTGACAACCCACTGTACCAACCCTGCCAGCAACCCGCCAGGTTGTCCTCGTGACCAACCATGCACGACCACCCCCAGACAAATTAGCCTAGCCTAACCCCCGGGGAGCTGGCCTGACGTCATCATATCCCAACTCAACCAATCGGATGTGCCGCCATGTGACTGCCGCCAGCCAATGGCATGCTAGTCCCGGCCTGACATGGAAAAACACATACAACAGACAAACGATCGGCTGCAGTGTATAAAGCAGGTAGGTCAAGGTCACACAACAAGGTCACACACAACAAGATCACATACAAGAGACAAACGATCGGCTGCAGTGTGTAAAGCAGGTCGGTCAAGGTCACATACACCAAGGTCACATACAACAAGGTCACATACAACAGGGTCACATACAACAAGGTCACATACAACAAGGTCACATACAACAGACAAACGATCGACTGCAGTGTATAAAGCAGGTCGGTCAAGGTCACATACACCAAGGTCACATACAATAAGGTCACATACAACAAGGTCACATACAACAAGGTCACATACAACAAGGTCACATACAACAGACAAACGATCGGCTGCAGTGTATAAAGCAGGTAGGTCAAGGTTACATACAACAAGGTCACATACAACAAGGTCACATACAACAAGGTCACATATAACAAGGTCACATAAAACAGGGTCACATACAACAGACAAACGATCGGCTGCAGTGTATAAAGCAGGTAGGTCAAGGTCACATACAACAAGGTCACATACAACAAGGTCACATATAACAAGGTCACATAAAACAGGGTCACATACAACAGACAAACGATCGGCTGCAGTGTATAAAGCAGGTAGGTCAAGGTCACATACACCAGGGTCAAATACAACAGGGTCACATACAGATAGGTCGACCTATACGCTTAACCTATACACAGTGGACAATGGTCAACATAAACACTATTTTTATACCCCAGTATTCCCTAGCCCTAGTATTCCCTAGCCCTAGTATTCCCTAGCCCTAGTATTCCCTCTGCCCCGATAGTTCCTCTACCTCTCATACTCCTCTGCCCCAGTATTCCCCCTCCCCCCCCCCTCTCTCTCTCTCTCTCTGCCCCATTAGTTCCTAGTAGCTCTGCCCCAATAGTCCCTCTGTCCCAACAGTCCTTCTGCCTCAGATACTCCTCTGCCCCAGTATTCCCCCTCCCCCCCCCCTCTCTCTCTCTCTCTCTCTCTCTCTCTCTCTCTCTCTCTCTCTCTGCCCCATTAGTTCCTAGTAGCTCTGCCCCAGTAGTCCCTCTGTCCCAACAGTCCTTCTGCCTCAGATACTCCTCTGCCCCAGAATTCCCTCTCTTTCTCTGCCCCAGTAGTTCTTAGTCTCTCTTCCCCAGTAGTTCCTCTGCCCCAGTCTGCCCCCAGTAGTTGCCTTCTCCAACATTCCCTCTATGCAACCACCCCCCCCCCCCATACCCATACATTAGCTTTATACCGAACTGTCACATGATTAAACAGAGTGAATAAATATCCACCCGACTACACATATCACTAATTAGTACCTGAACAACACACCAGCATTGTAAACATCCATTCTACCTCCCCCCTCCCCTTGTTATCTAAACCCTAAGTACGTCTCATTTGTTATGACGAGTACTTTAAACAAAAAAAAAGGTGAACACATGCTACTAACATATGAACAGACGAATCTTCAGGAAGATTAAATTCATAACTGGCCATGTTAATGTGCGCAACAGCTGAGCGGATTTGGCTTGGTGCTCACGATAAGGGTCTGGCCTGTGGTGGTGACTCGATTGCAATGTGTTGCTTTATCTATGTTTTATCTCCAGGTTGTTCTATAATCCCCGGGGGAACTGAATTTGTGATCACGTGATGCGTGGTTTTAAAAACATTTGTTTTGGGATTTGTCGTCGTGTTGATGTTTTTTGTCGAGATGATGTTGTGTGTCGTGTTGATGATGGCGTTGTGGGTAGTGTTGGTGACAGTCTATGTCGTGTTGATGACGTCATGTGTCACGTTGATGACGTTGTGGCCGATGTAGATGGCGCAGTGTGTGGTTTTTGTGACGTAATGTGTCCTGTTGGTAACAGTATGGGCGGTAGTGATGTTATAATGTGTTGTGGTCGTGACGGAATATATTGATGACGTGTTGAGCGATGTTGATCACGTGATGTGTAGTTTTCAGGACGTTATGTGTCCTTCGTTTGACCTTGTGGGTAGTAGTGATGACGTCAAAAGCGGTATTAGTGACGTTGTGAGTGGTATTAATGGTGTAATAAATCGTGGCGATGATGAAATACGTCGTGACCACAACTTGTTGACAGCGTTCCTTGTTTAGTTAATACGTCAAAAAGTAAAATAAATAAAAATAATTCTCTCCCCCATTAGCCTAAGGCTGGAGTAAGCAGCAATACAATAAATGCTTCAGCATTTTAATTACATCAAGAACCGCTTGATAAATGATACGTTTGTGACGTCATTGCCCGCGTCTTAAATCGCGCGCGATTGCAGGTAATGATAAATCAATTGTTTTTAGTTGGCTTCAACTGGCGGGATTACAGAGCTGAGTAGACAGGAAGATGTGCTCTACTGCATGCTGGGAAGTGCCAAGTTCGCCTAAAGGCAGAGTGGGCATATGCCCAGAAATTTACCACAAGCTATGCACCGTGTACTTAATGGATTTTTTTTTTTTTAGTTTTAATTACAAGTAAAACAAATGTTTGTTTTCTAGTGAATTCCAAAAAAAAAAATGTGTTGGCTCCTTCTAGATTGCACATAAACGTATGTAAATCTACATAGATTAGATCTGTATGGGTTCAAAGATTTGCATCGCATAGACCGACGATATTATTACTACTGTGGTCTGTTAAATTAATGGTTACAACTTAATGGGGTAATATCTGAGGTTAAATTAATGCCTCATTTCGTCACATTTTAAAGTGATAGATTTTCGTCTTTTTAACTAGCAGTATGCAGTGGCGTAGGCAGGGGGGGGGGGTTATGGGGGGTCATAACCCCCCCCCCCATAGACCCCTCGGTATATATAAAAAGTATAAGGGGGGGGGGGGTGCAAATCGAAAGTTTGAGGGGGGGGGGGGGTGCAAATGCAAACCGAAAGGTTGAGGGGGGGGGGGTGCAAATCGAAAGTTTGAGGGGGGGGGGGGTGCAAATCGAAAGTTTGAAGGGGGGTGCAAATCGAAAGTTTGTCCCCGGGTAAAAATTGGAACCCCCCCCCCCCCCGCCTTGAGACGATCCTGGCTACGCCACTGGCACTATGCTTCACTCTAGGTATGCTATAAGCTGCTAGAAAAGCTCCCCATCCTATATGCTAGTGCAGTTAATATGCTACCTTCATGGTATGTTGCAAGCACATTTCAGCTAAACTTCAAATATGCTACTAGATCTAGCTGATGCTGCTACTGTAGGGGGGGGGGGGTGGGGCGCGACGCACGTCATGCTGTTACTAAATATAGCTGGGCTAAAAGTGACGTCACATGACGTGACTTGCTACGGTCACGTGGTCTGTTCATTAACTTAAAGCACCAAAGCGAGTCGATAATTTGATTGGCTAATTTTTATATCAGTCCTACACTACTACAAACACAGGACACCATTCAAAAACAGACCCCATACAAAAACAGACCCCATACAAATAGAGACCCCATACAAAACCCATTCTTCAAATGTTAACAAATATCAAACCCACACACCTTCAGTTTACAAATACAAAACCCACACACTCACACACCCTCAATTAACAAATACAAAACCCACACACCTTCAGTTAACAAATACAAAACCCATTCTTCAAATGTTAACAAATACCAAACCCACACACCATCAGTTAACAAATACAAAACCCACACACTCACACACCCTCAGTTAACAAATACAAAACACACACACCGTCAGTTAACAAATACAAAACCCACACACTCACATTTAATAAATACAAAACCCACACACCTTCAGTTAATAAATACAAAACCCACACACCTTCAGTTAACAAATACAAAACCCACACACCCACACACCATCAATTAACAAATACAAAACCCATACACCTTCAGTTAACAAATACAAAACCAATTCTTCAAATGTTAACCAATACCAAACCCACACACCGTCAGTTAACAAATACAAAACCCATTCTTCAAATGTTAACAAAAAGCAAACCCACACACCGTCAGTTAACAAATACAAAACCCACACACCCACACACCTTCAGTTAACAAATACAAAACCCACACACCCTCAGTTAACAAATACAAAACCCACACACTCACACACCTTCAGTTAACAAATACAAACCCCACACACCTTCAGTTAACAAATACAAAACACATTGTTCAAATGTTAACAAATACAAAACCCACACACCCTCAGTTAACAAATACAAAACCCACAAACCCTCAGTTAACAAATTAATTAGCTGTCAAATACCCCATGTTCACTGGCAATGCTAGTTCAGACCACATAATCAATACGAGCCATCTCAATAATTCCTTCCCTAGTGGGGGGGGGGGGGGTGTCATATTGGATGTGGTGTGGGTGGGGTGGGGGGTCTTTGTTTAGCATTGTCTTATGTATCCTGTTGGCTTTCAAACATTAGCAAGGTATAAACACACATACAGCTTAGGTACAAACACACATACAGCCTAGGTACAAACACATACAGCCTAGGTACAAACACACATACAGCCTAGGTACAAACACACATACAGCCTAGGTACAAACACACATACAGCCTAGGTACAAACACACATACAGCCTAGGTACAAACACACATACAGCAATTTGAAAGACCACTCACAATGGTAGACGAGATCACACATTCCAACTATGTAAGTCACGAGGTTTTGCTACATACGCGAAAATCACCCCCCCCCCCCCCAACGACGGAATTTAGGGCCAGAAAATATGGTACACAATTTTCGTAATTGACAAATGGAAGGGTAGCCAAAACAAACCCCACGTCCCCATCACCCCAGCCACTTTTTGCACCACACCCCCTCCCCCCAGTCTCCATATCTAGTAGTATCGTCTGCTAGTGCTAACATAACCGCGCCATATTTCCGATCCTGATCTTATGGGTTCCTGTCCGGCACTACAGGTACCGTCCATCCTTTCCGTCATACCCCCACCTCCTCTTTATGCCCCCCCCCCCTACTATTTACAACATAAGCACACAAAAAATTCCTTTAAGCATCTTTAATATTTCAAAAGATATACACGGCTACCGACAATTATTTATACTTTCCCTCTCAAACTCGATTATGTTTTTGTATTTACCAGTTATGCCCCTTTGGTGTTGTCGGTTTTTTGAGTGTGTAAAGAAACTGTGTTAGACTAGAAAGGAAATCGATAGCACATTGTCACGCCTATATCTCCATTGTCACGTCGACAGACGCCATTGTCACGTCCGCGGACTGCGCCGGTCCACCCGTTTCGATGACGTCGGTGGGTCACGTGATTTGGTGTTTGGGTGAGGCGGGAAAGAGTCAAGTCCCGGGGGTGTGGCCCCGGGGGGAGCTCCTCAATAATATTGATTAGTGCTGTTTTGTTTGGCCCTCCACCGCGCCCCGCCCGGCCAGCAGACGACACAGTTGCTGGAGTTTTATGGGCCTCTCCCCCCCCCCTCCCCTCCCCTCCCCTCCCCCTGCCGGAGCAGCGAATCCTGGGAGCTGCCTGAATGTTAACAACCGGAGAAAAAAAATGGAATCTTTTAAAACACCGCGCATGGAAGAGTTGTCTGTTACTTGAAGGATAGATTAGTAGAGTTGGTCATTTTTGTTGGTCGTCACTACATTAGTAGAGTTGGTCATTTGGTTTTGGTTGGTCGTCACTACATTAGTAGAGTTGGTCATTTGGTTTTTGCTTGTAGAATTGGTCATTTGGTTTTGATTGGTCGTCACTACATTAGTAGAGTTGGTCATTTTTGTTGGTCGTCACTACATTAGTAAAATTGGACATTTGTTTTTTGCTTGTAGAATTGGTCATTTGGTTTTTGTTGGTCGGCACTACATTAGTAGAGTTGGTCATTTTTGTTGGTCGTCACTATATTAGTAGAATTGGTCATTTGGTTTTTGTTGGTCGTCACTACATTAGTAGAGTTGGTCATTTGTTTTTTGTTGGTCGCCACTACATTAGTAGAATTGGTCATTTGGTTTTTGTTGGTCGTCACTACATTAATAGAATTGGTCATTTGTGTTTTGCTTGTAGAATAGGTCATTTGTGTTTTGCTTGTAGAATATGTCATTTGTTTTTTTGCTTGTTTTTAGAATTGGTCATTTGGTTTTTGCTTGTAGAATAGGTCATTTGTGTTTTGCTTGTAGAATAGGTCATTTGTTTTTTTGCTTGTAGAATTGGTCATTTGGTTTTTGCTTTTAGAATTGGTCATTTGGTTTTTGCTTGTAGAATTGGCCATTTTTTTTTTGCTTGTAGAATTGGTCATTTGGTTTTTTCTTGTAGAGTTGGTCATTTGTTTTTTTCTTGTAGAGTTGGTCATTTATTTTCCTTGTAGAGTTGGTCATTTCTTTTTTGCTAGTCGATATGAGATTAGTAGCATTGGTCATATTTGGGGGTAGGAGTTTAGTAATATGGCGGTAACGTGCGTAGACACACCTCATATAGAAGGATGGGGAGTTGTCTATAAATCACTTACAATTACCGTTTCACCTCGTCACCAAAATTCAGCCTAAAAAATCTCCCCCCTTCCCCTAAAATAACTGACCAGCGAAGTTAAGGAAGCTATTCGACAATTTTGTCCTTACGATAATCGCCATTTAAGCAATATCGCGTTTATCAAGTGCTAACTATCACGATATCAAGAAAATATTTTATCCTTTGCTTAGGACTAAGGGCGGTAGGACAAGAGGACTATGCAGCGGTAGGACAATAGGACAAAATGGTGGTAGGACTACTACATAACTACTTTATCTAATCAAAATCAACCGAAACTGTATCTGTTAATGCTTGTCTTGTTCCATTTTAACCAAATTCACACACAAAAATTACTTTCAATTCCTTAAACATTTTTTTTATAAAAAGTAATTTTATAATTACATTTGATTACAATCAAAATAATTACATAACCACGTTTTATTCGAGCAATCACGGAACTTAATAACCGACTTTTATTTTAAATAGAGACCCAGACCGATTAAAATCTAATCAGATAGACATGTAATCTCTCCTCCCACACCTTACCCACCCCACAATTCCTCCACCCACAGTTTACCCGCCCCACAATTCCTCCACCCACAGTTTACCCGCCCCACAATTCCTCCACCCACACCTTACCCTCCCCACAATTCCTCCACCCACAGTTTACCCGCCCCTAAAATTCAAACCCAAACTTTTGTTTCTAAATCTCAATGGTTCGATCAATCACCCCCCCCCCCCTAAATCCCACCCCTACCCAGCGTCCCCCGCCCCCTTCTACGGCAAGATCTAATCGTTACAAGTAACTTGACCCGCCCGTTGGTTTAGGCAAGGGGGGGGGGGGGGGGGACATGGTCAAATTGCTGGCTTAATTAATAGGGGATGAACACATGCTTACCAAATTAAAGTAACCCTCTGTTTACGATTCACTGTGGAATTGTTTTAATGTAATGTGAGAGCGTCTGTGTGAAATAATGATCACATTAGTGTGGTATGGGTTGGTTGTTTAGGTTTGTTTTATACATTTTGTGTACATTTGGTGTACATTTGAAATAGGCCTACATTTTTGTAAAAACTTTGTTTGATTTTTGTTAGAATTTAGTTATATATTTTGGTAATAATTGAGTGTACAGTCACATGAATTAGTCTGTACTTCTATGGTTATTTCTCTTTCCACCACAACTTTGTCAGTTACCTCCCCTTCGTTTTAGTTACCTCCCCTTTGTCTAGTATTGATCTGAAGAATTATGGGATTAGCTCTAATAATTATGTCACCAGCTAATTAATAGAGACCTCAACCTTTACACACGTGTACACACTCACATACACATATATACACACATACACAAACATTGTTGCAAGCTCAATGATATGTTTTAAAGAAATTATTGAATTTGTGTTTAGTTTTATTTTTATTTTCTTTAAGAGATTCGACATTGGATTTAGGTTAGACAGAACGAGAGAGAAAGAGAGAGAGATAGATAGATAGAGATAGAGAGAGAGAGAGAGAGAGAAAGATAGAAATGTTGACGTAGTGTTAACATAAATGTTGTGAATGTATTCAAGTTGTCAAATTTTCTTGTAATTCATACACCTTGTGTATCTTATAAAGCCAGTAACAGTGTCTTTAACTTTAACATCTGTCTGAATGACTTTCTACGGACTCGAACGTGTTTGTCTTTCTATATGTTCAGTAGAGCGTATCTGCTTGTTGTATTTATTCCTAGCTATTCTAGACTATTAACAAATTAACTGATATTTTCCTCTCCCCCCCCCCTACTCCCAGCATCTCAGCAACCCAGGAGGATTCCAGAGTGCGGCCAGGGAACTGTTGGAGTGGTGTTCCGACCAGAGGGCCTTCCAGCTGCAGTTTGAGGACAGTCTTATGGGCTGTCTGACGGTAAGGCATTGTGCTTGTGATATCTCTGTCACTGTGTTTGTGATCAGTCTGTTACATGGACACATCACATTGAATACGTCACTGTGAATACGTCATGTTGAACACATCATATTAAACACATCACATTGATTACATTACATTGCATACATCAGAAATAACACAGCACATTGATTACATTACATTGAACACATCAGAAATAACACAGCACATTGAATACGTCACTGTGAATACATCATGTTGAACACATAGCATTGAACACAACACATTGATTACATTACATTGAACACATCAGAAATAACACACCACATTGTATTAAACACACGAGTATGAGAGCACATTTAAACAGCCCGAATACCTTACATAAGAAACGTATGTCGTCAGATTATAAACGACGCTTGGTTCTCTTCAACCTTAAACCAGCAAGTTAAGATTTGTTGTCCCTGTGTTCAGGGTTTAGAGTTATGTGTTAAACCTTGGTTTAGAGTTATGTGTTCAACCAAAACCAGCACAGTTAAGATTTGTTGTCCCTGTGTTCAGGGTTTAGAGTTATGTGTTCAACCCAAAACCAGCAAGTTAAGATTTATTTCCCTGTGTTCAGGGCTTAGAGTTATGTGTTCAAACTAAACCAGCAAGTTAAGATTTGTTGTCCCTGTGTTCAGGGCTTAGAGTTATCTGTTCAACCTTAACCACCTAGTTAAGTTTTGTCTCCCTGTGTTCAGAGTAGAGCTATTTCCCTGCCCAACATTGATTAGGGCGTCCACGTTTAGAATTTGGGGGTGGGGTACGGGGGTGAGGGGTACAGGGGTCAGCCAGTGCGGCAGATGAGGAAGTTGTGATGGCGTTGACCAACTGATTAAGGTTCCCTCCCTTGTCGCATTGTCTCCCCTAGTTATAGCCAAGACTAATTACAAAAACTCGCTAATGAATATGGGGGATATTGAATTATAAGGACCGTGTCATTTGCGAATGAAAGGGGTGGGGGTGGAGTAGAGGCAAGTTTAAATGTGGGCACGGGTGAGGCGATTGGACGAGGGAGGGAGGGGGGAGGCAAGTCAGGGGGGGAGGAATTGAGGATGGGTGGACAAAGAGAAAGTGAATGATGGGGGAGGGGGGGGCGTTTGATGGGGATTTGATGGGATGTTGAACAAAGGGTGTCAAGGGCGTTGACATGGGGTGTTGAGGGGCGTCATGTTATGGGGAGTTTGGCATAAGTGTTAGGGGGCGTCGTGTTTTGGGGGAGTTAGACTTGGGGTGTTAAGGGGCGCCGGTGTTATGGGGCGTTGGACAATAGGGTATTAGGGGGCGTTTTGTTTTGGGGAGTCGGATAATAGGGTATTAGGGGGCGTCTTGTTTTGGGGTGGACATCAAGGTGTTATTTGGCGTCGGTGCTATAGGGCGTTGGATAACGGGGTGTTATGGGGCGTGTGTTTTATGAACGTTGGACAATATGGTGTTAAGGAGCATCGGTCTTACTGTTCTTTGCACAAGGGGTGTTAGGGGGCGTCGGTGTTATTGGGCGTTGGTCAATAAGTTGTTAGGGGCGTCGGTGTTATTGGGCGTTGGTCAATAAGTTGTTAGGGGCGTCGGTGTTAGGGGGCGTCGGTGTTAGGGGGCGTCGGTGTTAGGGGGCGTCGGTGTTAGGGGGCGTCGGTGTTAGGGGGCGCCGGTGTTAGGGAGCCTCCGTGTTATGATCGTTAGACAAAAGTCTCCAGTCTGTCGAACGCTATCTGTGGAGCGCTACAGGTTATCTTGACCCCATGATCCCTACAGCGACACCGTTAATCCCCGGCTGGCGTCGTATCTCGCTACCTGTGTGCTAATCAATCAGACCAACACAATCAATGAAGAAAGTAAATATTGATTTTTTACAACTCCAACATTCAGAGTAATCAGCTAGCAAACACCGCTGAGGTTGTTTTTTTCTCACTCACTTTGTCAGGACTTTTTCTTTAGCTCGCCGACTTCTTGCTGGCGTTCGTTATCGGGCGATACTTTTGTTTTAAACGTTTCCTATTTTCATTGATTTCTATGCACACTTTTTCTAACAATCAATATATTTTTATCAATTTAATATTTTAAAAAATACATTACGCATTCTTTTTAACATCTATTTTTTTTAATCAATTTTAATCGTACTTTTATTTTTAGTTTGTTTTTGTAACGTGTTTATTGTTTATCAGTTCGCATTAAAAAATGTAAACCTTACGTCGTAATAGTTCAATTATTTGTTACTTAATGTTTCAGTGTGTCATTTTTTTACCCTTTACTTTTCTTCGTTTTACTTCAGGAAATAAAAAAAAAAAACTTAGGAAGACATACAAAAAATTAAGACGGATATAGTTGACGTCATACTTAATTTTTTTCTAACAAGCGGTATAGACATTCGTTTTTTTTTTTAAACAAATTAATTTAAACGATTTGATATTATTTAATTCGTTGACTCCGTTCATTGAGCGTTATCGGTAATTATTTTTAAATCTGTATTGACTAAGTCGTCTTGTCTAAATACGTGTGAATCAGACTGAAAAAAGTCTACCCTCGTCATTAGTCGTTTTGTGTTTCTAAATAGACCCTTTTTTTGTGATCGATCTTAAAAGTAGATTATTTTGTTTTTGATAATATTTTTTGTTGTAGGTTGGGGAATGTGATCGAATGATTTTGTTGTAGGTTGGGGAATGTGATCGAATGATTTTGTTGTAGGTTGGGGAATGTGATCGAATGATTTTGTTGTAGGTTGGGGAATGTGATCGAATGATTTTTTTGTAGGTTGGGGAATGTGATCGAATGATTTTGTTGTAGGTTGGGGAATGTGATCGAATGATTTTGTTGTAGGTTGGGGAATGTGATCGAATGATTTTGTTGTAGATTGATATTAGATTGTAGATTGTAGTAGATTGATATTTGTGCATGTTGGCGAGGGACTGTGTACAAATAGGTCACTCTAGGTCAGGGAATGATATTTGTGTGAGGGACTGTGTACAAATAGATCACTCCAGTTCAGGTCAGGGAATGATATGTGTACATGTTGGTGAAGGACTGTGTACAAATAGGTCACTGCAGTTGGTCCCGCTCTGCTTCACCCTGGGCCAGCCATAAATTAAGACAAGGCTGGTTGGTTCAATTGATTGCTCATTAATTCTCCAAGTTGGACTGTCCCAGGCACCGGCCGTGGTGGGAGGGTGGGGGAGGGGAGGGGAGGGACGAGCAAACTTGGGGTTGCTACTAGAGTCACAGAGCAAATAGCACCGCCCCGTTTTATCGCAGCCTCGTGTAAACGGCATTTGGGTTTGTTGTATGGCATCCTAGGTTTGTTGTATGGCAACCTTGTTTGTTGTATGTGTCCTAGGTTTGTTGTATATGTCCTGGTTTGTTGTATGTGTCCTGGTTTGTTGTATGTATCTGGGGTTTTTGTATGTGTCCTAGATTTGTTGTATGTGTCCTGGTTTGTTGTATGTGTCCTAGGTTTGTTGTATGTGTCCTGGGTTTGTTGTATGTGTCCTAGGTTTGTTGTATGTGTCCTGGGTTTGTTGTATGTGTCCTGGGTTTGTTGTATGTGTCCTGAGTTTGTTGTATGTGTCCTGGTTTGTTGTATGTGTCCTGGTTTGTTGTATGTGTCCTAGGTTTGTTGTATGTGTCCTGGTTTGTTATATGTGCCCTGAGTTTGTTTATGTGTCCTGAGTTTGTTATGTGTGTCCTGAGTTTGTTATATGTGTCCTGAGTTTGTTGTATATGTCCTAGTTATGTTGTATGTGTCTTGGGTTTGTTGTGTGTGTCCTGCGTTTGTTGTATGCGTTATGTCAACGCCGAGTGTAGTCACGGGTACTGAATATAGTCCGAGTATAGTTGGGTGTTTCCTAGTTGAGCAGCTTCCTTTTGATAGTTTGTCTTGTGCATACAAACTTGTTATAAAACTGGTTGTATGGGATTGGTGAAGTGGGTAGATGGGGGGTGGTGGTGAATTGGAGTCGTCGTAGTCGTTCCCCCCCCCTCACCCCCTCCTCACCCCGTGATTGTAAAATAGATTATTGAATAATCGCGAATAGAACTATCTGGAAAAACCAAAAGTAAAAAGATTTAACTCGACAAAAAAAATCGATCCATCTAGACGTCACGTGTCAACTCTATTCTGCCGATGCACTGGCTCGGCCGCCATACTTAAATGACGTCAATAATTAACCTTTTGACCTGCTTAATTAATCTCCCCACACAGACTGATCAGCGTTTCCATGCTCGGCGAGGTGAGCTCCCCTTGTTCATCAAAATGGCCGTCGGCTGTGACGTCATCGTTCTGTTCTCCGTCTTTAAAAAAAAAAAGCTAAAAATAATACCGGCCATTTTTTTTACTGAAATCTGTAGAGAACATGGCTGATGTAAAACATTGGAATATTTCTCATGTTAGCTTGTGTGTAAAACCTGCCGGGGAGGGGATGGGGGCGGGTGGGTATTGTCGAAGCCCCTAATGGTGTTACTCTGTTCAATTGATTTCGACCCCGGAACTAGCCAGATTTCTTTGCGCTGAGGGCTTGATTTATAGCGAAGATTGGACCCCTGCCCCCTCTCCAGAACTCCCCCCCCCCCCCACCCCCACTCAACTCCCTATTTTTATTTATCAGGGGAAAAAACTCTCATGTAGAAACGGTGGAAGCGAACTGATGACGTATGAAACGGGATTAAGGAAGGAGGGGGGATGGAGATGGGAATGGGGATGGGTAGATGGGGATGGAAGGGTGGATGTATCTAACTGCTGAAAACAAAATTTGAGGAGAGAAGGCGAATCGCAGAATCAGGTCATTTGGTCGCCTGGAAGAAAAGGGGGGAGAATCTGTCAGTGCCAAGTGGTAAAAAGGGGAGAGAAATCACATTAGAGGATCCGATTGACCCGGGCTGTGTAAAGCGAATGATGAATGCAATGGGAAGGAGATGAAAGATGTTTTACAGTCGGCCGACATGGATGGTAGCAAGATGTAGTGATGTCATCGATTCTTGTGTACAATCGGGAG